TCTTACATATGCAGTCTTCCGATCACTCTGATGAAGATTAACTGTGCCTCCGTATTTCTGGTTCATTAAGAAAACAATAATTTAGACAAATCACTGCTCAGAAAGTCCAAATGCAAATTCAAATCAGAAAATAATTTTCTAAAAAAAAAAACTTGAAAAGAAAATAATGCATGTTAGACCAGCTTTATCCAAGACACAAACACCAAAACTAGTACAAAGGTAAACTATAGAATGTGAGAACACACACACACACATGCACTTACATTGGAAAATGACTTTGTAAGGTTAGCGCGGTTGCTTTTGGGCGATGGGGTCAATGCCTTTTGTCGCAGAACATGATTTTCATCTTCTAGATGTGAGAGCTTCTCCTCAAGACTAATTAAAAGCCAACAATGACAACAAATCAAGAAGTAAACTAATTACATGTGCAAACCAAAGTCATATATTCAATTCAGATGGCAAAAAGATAAAATACATCAATGTAAGCAGTCAACACGAAACCGGATTTTAGCTGTACAAAAAACAAATATTACCAGCAGGAGCAACAAATAAGAAAAACAAGCAGTAATCAAGCAAGCACATAACACATATGTATGTATGTATGTATGTATGCATGCAAGAATAAATGTATGTGTGTGAAAATTAATAGAGTAATATCATAGTTTCAAGTGATTAAAGTTACCTTTGCATGTTTTGCTGGAGCTCAGTATTCTTTTGTTCTAACTCCCGCAACTTTTCAATGGTGTCACTGGCATCTTTTAGAGCCTTCTTGAGCTCATGCTCCAGGGCAGAGTTCTTCTTTTCCAAGGTATCCAGAGAACTCTGTAGAAGTAAATAAAAGTGCAAGACATATAAATAATAAAGCAGATCACATATATCGCAAGACAAAAACCTAAATTCAATTTATAAAGAAAAAAGTTAAATCAGAACAAAGGAAACTACAAACTTTTCCCAAACTGTAAACAGAGTATTTGTCCTATCACTAATCATAAAAAACAATTAATCAAACATTAAAACACAAACCTTCAGTAAAACATTTTCCTTTCTCATTTCAGCCAGCACAGTCAATTCCTTTTCCAATGCAGATTTCTCTTTTATTGATAATTCCAATTGATTTTGCAGCACTGCATTCTTATTGCACTCACTAATTGTTGCTAGTTTAGTTGCATCTAACTCAAGATTTAAAGATTCCAATGCTTTCTGAAGTTTGGAAATTTCAACTGACTTCGTTTCTTCAGTGGAAACCTGCAGTCCAGATTGCCATTATAAAGAAAGCAACACAATATAGCCAGAATCAATTGCTTTTATTAAAAAGAAAAGAATAGAAAAATAAAAAATGGAGGCACTAGAAAACAGTTTCAAAATTCAGATATATTATAGCATATATTTAACAGTTAGCTTGCCATATTTAAACACATTAAGGCATGACTTTCAGTTGACAATTACGTGATTCAACTTTTGTTAGAAAATAGAGCACATTGTCATTAGCCAACTGCCAAGATAAGAAAATAGGAAACTGCAGCACAAACTTTCCAAAATTTTACAACTATATAACTTTTCTAAAACAAGATTTCAAAAAAAAAGAATGATACCCGCATTCTTTTTTCTAGATGCAACCGCCATGTGAGATCTTCTAACTGCTTCTCCAGCTTGTTCTTAGCTAACCGTAAGGCACCTGCTTCATTAGCCTCCTGCAAAAAGCGCATGCAAACACAGTGATGCACTGCAGGAAACTTCTCAATATATGAAAAGTTTGAAGAAGAATTGGGATTGTAATAAATACAAAATAAGGGTACAGAGGAAAGAGTCCACCTCGTTGGATAGATAAATCTGATTCTTAAATGAATGTTCACTTTTCGAGTCAAGCTAGAAAAACTAGAAACCATTACTGATTTTTTTTCTACAACTCTTAAATCCATACATGAGAACTATGTATAAAATATATGAACATTTAGTACACCTAAAAAATATAAGACATTATTGAATAATCATAACTAACACAAATTAAGATTTTTATTTTTGGTTTGACTCACTAATTGAATACATACAAACTTCAAGTTTGAGATAAAATATCATCCAGTTTTAGGGTATTCAAATCACAATTTTCTTCAAACAGAAAGGATTCTCTTCTCTTCAAATAAGTTTTTTGAACCTTGAAGGATTTGCACTTTGCATCAAGTACATAGCTCAAAACATATTTCATATGAAGTATACAGTAAAAGGAATCACAAGAGCAAGCACTTTCACATACTTGTTTAAGCCTCCTGAGTTCTCTCTTAGCAAGTTTTTGCCTCCAATGACATTGTATTGCTATGATAGATTTTTTATAATGATGGAAAGCAGAGCGGAATCTGCACAACCTCCATCGAGCCTGCACAAAACAAGAAAGAGAAGACATTACAAGTCAACATGCAGCCTGTGCAGGATTTTACACAATTCAAATGCAACCAATAAAGGAGAAAATAAATAAAAATAAGCAATTGGATGATAAGCACAATATGAATTTTTGAGGACAGGGGAAACACACTCCTTATTGTTTCTTATAGACATGCCCAGAATGCAACTTCCTAAAACCAGGATGAACAAAGTTCACACACAAATTGAAAACCACATATGACAGCATAAAAATGCATATATGAATAAGATCAAGTCAAGTTCACCTGGATAAGAGCAGCAGCTCTATGCTTCTTCCTATGCAAAAACTTTTGACGAGTTGAAAAGCCACAGATGTTGGACTGTAAAATAACAGCTGCTGAAAGTACTTTCAGATAAGCACACCTGAATAGCCACCTGCGGACATATTTCTGTAAACATACGGCAGCTGCTGCCTCTCTCCTTGCAGCAAACATCTTTCGAACGAGGCATCCTGCAGAAATCATGACCATTTAGTAGTAAAGCAAAGAACAAACATGTGAGATAGACGACGCTTGTGTAACAGATAGTAAACGAACCAAAAACATTTTGTTAATTTTACAGAAAGAAAAAATTCTCTTTTCACTGGCTAGCAATAGACCGAGCAAGTTTATAAACAAAATCAAAAATGAAATTGAGCGCAAAAGTTGTATGAAGATTGAGCTTCTTATGCATTGAGGGGCAAACCAGAACAGAGAACATGAAGGATTATGTTATTAGGACAATGGATAGCAGAGAGCAGTATCACCACTGGTGGTAGATAGAAATGGTGGTGTTTTTCATGAAGCAGGATAAATATAAAATTAAGAAGTCTGGAACAGATCAGCCTCAGATTAAGAAGAATTGAAGAGACTAAGTAATTTTCAGTTTTGTAATTTTAAATTTGATTTAAGATTATGTATTTTTTTTTCATTGTTTTAAAAGTTAGGGCTAGTTATGTGATTCAATTTTGTTTAGGTTAATGAGGGTTATATTTGGCATTTGCATTACAGGACTAAAGTTTAATGAATTGTCGTTATAAATACTTTATTTTGCATCTCAAAGTTTGCTTATGCTGATGATGAATTGAACATTGTCGAGACTTGATTATCTAGCCACCTCTCTTATTCCTCTGTTCCCCCTAAATTCTGTCTATTCCCTCTTGTTTCTCTTTTCATATTCTAACCCGCCTTATGTCCTACATCAGGAACTGATTTTTGTGTGACAATGAAAATTATAGTAGAACCTAGTCTAAGGGGATAAGACATGATAGACAGCCCATATCACTTTCAAGATTGCCAGCCTTAATGTCTAAGACTCCATTATACAATTCTACATCTGAATTCACCATTAAGCTTTTATGGCCTAAACCAATCAACAGAGAAAATTTTTATGGCGTTAAACATCCAATTGTTTGATAAATAACTTTGGAGAATACATAGAGAAGAAAAACATTAGAAGCAGTGAAACAAATGAGTGAATAAAAGATTATATTAGATTAGAAAATTAGGTGTCCAGACATAAAGAGGACCTCTGCAATATGCTTGCAGTTGAATTGCAGCAACTCGGGCTGAGATGAAATTCCTGTGTGCAATATATGTCCGCAAACGGCGCTGAACACGCTTTGCAGCAGTATCCAAAACCTCAGCACGTCGTGAATCTAAGACACCAATCTGACCAGCCCTAAGAAACACTTTTGTCCTACCCAACTACAGAAAAGTATTTGAAAACAGAGAATTAGAAATGAAAAAAAAAAAAACAGTAAATAATATAAGGAATAAGTTATTTATACAATGCTAATCATGCATACCTGAAAATTTTCAAGATTTAACTTTCGCAGAATTTTCTCTGTCAACGCCTTCTCATCATAACTGCAAATATTTAACTTTATAAGTTAAAACAAGAAACAGAAAACGAAATCTCAGAACAGCAATCTCGTGAAGAAATGAACTTTCTTAAGAAAAATTGCCGGAAAAACAAAACCAAGGAGAAGCAAGGATCCCTTCTATTATTCACAAACAAAGATATAACCAGTTGTGAGTAAATTTCTTGGAAAAGGAGATGCGCAAGGTACTATGAAGGCAGAGATTTTAACAGAAACAACAATGGATTACTACATATAAAATGGAGAAATACCAACAATCTTCTAACCATCCTAAGAAGAAACTTCATAAGAAGACATCAATATGCTAAGTTTCCAGCTACATAACATACTAACAACTTCAATTTGTAGTTACACGTGTATATCTATGTGCATATGACGATCTGCATGTGTATGTGGGTGTCCTTGAAAACCATTTACAACCTTGTGTCCATAAATTCAGGTGCTAATAATCCAAAGCGATCCACAAATTCTGAATAAGTCCTTCGAGTTGGATAGCCAGCCAGACTTATTCGAACTGCCTCCAGAACACCCTGGTCCAAATCAAATAAATTTTCCTTTAGCAACTCAAATCTATAGAATTTAGCAAGAATCAAGACCTAGAATGTAAGGCTATACTTGTGCCAGAGAGAAAGAAATACACAGGCAGCACATTGAAATAAGAAACGTAAAACTAATCATGAATTCATTTGTATCACTTGAGCCAGGGACCTCTTCCTTCAATAGACCAGCACACTAAGTATTTAGCCATATTAATGCTATTGGAAATTGCATGTAATAGACCCTTCCATTCTATGACTTTATCTCGATAAGACATTGAAAATGTAAAAGATATATCATGGAAGCCATAGATGCTATTAAGCTTTTAAAAAACTTTCTGTCATTTATCAGAGAAAAACTCTGCAAATTGGGGCTTTTTCATTAACTTTCCAGAACTTAGAACTCATTGTCATGTAGGAATTAATGCAGATTCATAATTCAACCAGATAATAAAAGAACTTCCAGAATGAAATTAAGCAACGATATATAGATGTGATTTCCATGTGAAAATAACTTTCGCAGTCGAAGATCTAAAGAAAAGTAGATGCTCTTAAATTATAAGCAACAAGAGCAGAAATTATATATGTGTTAATCTAAGGCCATGGTCAACTGTTTCAACACAAGATCAATCAACATCAAGTCATGGTGACCAAAAGAAAAGCTTTAGAGTGACCCTTCCACTGAAGATTGCTAACACTAGAATTCAACAAAGGATTCATCGATAAACAGAGACTACTCACCCCACAGCGTAGCTGATGAAGAATACTGAGGTTCTCAAATTTGTGAGGACGGTTCAATGAGTTTGGCTTCACACATCGTATATAATGAGGCTCTGTTGAGTTGAGGGTTTCCATGAGTGCTTGAAGTTGTTGCTATAAAGAGAAGGGAAGAAATTAACAGCATTGGCTTTAGAGAATCATAGGCGGTAAGTATAATGTTATTCCAGCAAACAGAAACCCCTCATCGATAAATAAATAAGCATGCTAACAGGGAAATTTTTTAGTGATCAAGCATTTGAACAACAAAATTAATGAAGAAAACAAAGCATCAGGAAAAAAAAAAGCATTGAATCCAGCCCACTTGCGACAAAGAAAAATATTGGCACCACAAAGCAAAAAGTAGAAGAAACCACATTCATAATTTTATTGCATTCATAAATATCATCAATGACATTTTTGCATGTCTGGAACCTTCATAAGACCACCCTAAAACAAGAGTTTGACGAATCCAGCCCACTTACAACAAATAAAATCCAACAAAGAAAAATATTGCCACCACAAAGCAAAAGGTAGAAGTAACCACATTCATAATTTTATTGCATTTATAAATATCATCAATGACATTTTTGCATGTCCGGAACCTTCAAAAGACCACCTTAAAACAAGAGTTCGAAGAGCTAAAATTTTTTACCAGATTTTGAACCATAAATTGGAATCCTAGTTAACTCCTAGAGTGACCAGTAAAAGAATATCAAGAAGAACTAATACAACTTATCTAAATATCCTCGTATGCCATAACTAGTAAAAATATCTTTAGATCTCAAACTCCCTTGGTTTCCATAAAGCATTCAAAACAGTTTCATACCTTAAATCTTGTTGCCACAGAAGAGAATTTGTATGATGATCTTGAAGATTCCTCAGGTGGTGAAGGGAAAAGACCCGCTACAAATGGGCATTTAGAAGAAGCCAAGAGATTGCAATGTTCTACCACAACATAATCGCGATTTTTTTCTAAAAAGGTATCTGTTTGATAAGTGACCTACAAAGAAAGGAAGAAGTACATCATCACAATATCTGTGAGATCAGAACAAATTATATTTTCTAAGACACAGTGTTATATTACATGCCTTGCCCGCATAATGCGAAACGGTAAAATCTGTTTCCGAAAATTTAGCCCTTTCCAACCTTGAGTGACCACGGAAATTCTGAAACAACTTGGTTGAAAATGTTTCATGTGTTGATTTTGGGAACATGCTGCACAAATAAGAAAATCAGGATAAGGATTAACGGCACAGATTCAATTGTATAGAGTAAAACGCACCAATTTATAATGGACTCAAATTGTACCAAGCTTCATCCAAAAGAGCAATTATCCCAATAGGTTTCTGCAAATTAAAGTACAATAATATAAGGCCTAATCGTAAGACAAATTAGAAGAATATTTAAATGGATAGAAAGGAAAAAGAGGAAGAATTTCATATTATAGAAAACAACGTACAAATTGGTCTTCAATATCTGCTCGAGAAAATTCTTTTTCTGGTAATAAATAAAATTCATAAAAAGAAGCTACACCTAGACGTACAGTGTTAATCAGTAATCACTACATATCATAGATGCAAAACTCAGGTCTACATTATGTGAGTTAGATTTATTCTCAAACCGAAAAGAAATGCTAGGTAAAATAACAAGAAAATGTAGGCCATAAATGACCGTATGACACAAAACTCTTAGTCATCCAACTCTATTGAGGGACATTTGCACAGTATTCTACAATTAAAACCATAATGATATGGCAGAATAATACATAAGACCTTTCTTAGGCACTTGCAAGTCTCCGGCATGTGTTATTCCAAATTTCTGACATGTATTATTGAAAATATTATGGATATAAGAATGTGTAAATTAAAGGAAAGCTCAGAACTTAGATCCCAAACTGACTCGCTACGATAATCATATTATTAAATTAGAAAAGTGAGGAAGGTAAAACATAGTTGAAGTAAAGAGTACCGCTAACAGAAATTACTAATAAGAAATTAACCAAGATCAATAAAAAGTTTTAAAAGACCAGGCATAAAAACCTTCTCAATTAAATCCAGAACATCTTGGTTGTCTATAAATTCAATGTAGCTCCAATTAATTTCTTCTTTCCTATATTCATCCTGCTCCATCTTAAATACATGCTGAAACAAATGAAGAAAAGAATATATGAACAAACAGAGTAAACCGGACAGCATAGCATAATCAGAATAATTCTAGAGTTTATTGCATGAAAGATTGATAGCTAACCTCATTGAAATGCTGCTGAAGTTTTTCATTTGCAAAATTAATGCAAAATTGCTCAAAACTGGCCACAGAAGATGACAATCAATCAAAGAAAAGAAACATGGAGACCAGTTTATGTATATGCATGGGATTCAGGACAAACATAATGAATTGTAAAAACTAGAGGGTGAAAATATAACAGAAGACCCTATTGCTGTTGAAATCAATAAACACAATAAGAGACAAACACCTCTTCTGGCAGAATATTCATATATATATATTAAGAGGCAAACATGAAACACGCTAACTTTATATACTACAACTGCCCTGCAAGGAAGAGACAGCAAGAAGGAGATTTAAGCTGTGAGTTGAAACTTTTTTAAGCAGCGAAAAAAAACCTAGATATGCCTTCTCCACAACACCATGTTGAGGGAAGCACATTTTGTTCCCAAGAGATTTTCTAAACTAAGCCATTGGTAACGTCGTCACGATCTTCTGAAACTTGATGAAGCTTTTGCAGATATTATTCTACTCAAGTTCATTTTGGTTTGCAAAAGACACACACACACCGCACACGCACACATGCACGCACGCATGCACACGTGCGTGTGGACACACACACACACACAAAATACACCAATAAATTTAAATAATAATAATAATGAACATTACAACGGGCATTCAAAACCAAAGAATGGATTTTTACCTATTATGCTTAAAGCATTCAAATCCATAGATGTCCAAAACTCCAATTTGTATATGGGAATTTGGATCTTGCCCCACAGACATATTAATCTTATCAACAAGCCTAAAAAGAAAAAAATAAAAAAATAAAAAACATAACAAATTTTGATTATCATAGAAAATATGTGCATAGGATAAAAAGAAATGTCTACAAACAAGCGTTGACGTAAGCATACCAATCAAACAAACGAGCATAAACCGTCTTTGCCAGTGCATCTCGACTAGCCACAGCAGCATTACAATCAAGAGCTTTAACAATACTTCCTTCACGAGTTTGAATGGTACGAGTAGACAATGTAGCCAGCAAGAGGTTCACATCACACCTGATAAATGAGCGATTTTGTCACATAACCTATCAAGAGAATGAATATCTACAAATTGAACAATTGGAATTGAATAAATCGACAATGAGGGGCTGGCTTGAATTAGCAAGCACCCTACTATTTCATTACAAAAGTGCAATTCAGGTGCTATTTGATAAACTAAAAAACTAAATGCCAAAAAAATTAAGTGTTGAAACTTTAGTACTGAAACTTTAACTAATTTATACTATGAAAATTATTTGGTATACTACTAAAAATTAAATACTGCATTGATTTTAATCAAGTTTTATGGAAGAGATATATATTATCCAACATTTCTTCATTGGAAATATTCTATTAATTGGTCTCCATGTTAAGTAACCAAACCCAAAGGATAATTTTCAATGATTTATCAGACAGCACATTAGTCATATATCAATAAAATATAAACAATGTGATCCCTAATCTGATTGCTAATCCAAGCCTCAAGTTCCATATGGTAAGTTGCCTTTAAATTATACAAAAATCTATCCAGAAATCCAAGAATCCTGATAGGCTCATTAATGAATTGGAATTGCTTGCTTTTTATCAAAATATACCATGATAATGGAAACAATTTTTAACACTTTTTCAATCATTAGTTATTATGTTATTCATGTTATTCTTTCCCTGCCATAAGTAAAAACAAAAGGAAAGAAAGCTCCATAATTGACACTTTATTCAAGAAAAAATGACTAAAACAAGACAAGTTTCAAAGCTATCTTATAGGATCACCTACCTAAAAAGATCAGCAGCCATCTGCATATGGAAGGTAGATTTCTGATCTTTAATAACTGAAGAATCATGCTCTCTTCCAGGAGAAAATTCAATGTTTCCAAGATGCAAAATAGCAGCCAAGGTGCAAAATATAGCTTCCTGATAACAAATGATAAAAGTGTAAGTTAATCCAGACAAAAACAAATTATAGGCAAAAGCTAGGTGTAATATTTTCAAACCTGATCCTCATGACTAATTCCAACAATATCCATTGCCCTCCTTGTCTTCATATATTCCTCTGCGCTGCTCACTCCTTCAAGTTCATATGTCCTGCTTTGATTTAAGTAGTGAAAATGGCTTGGATGGGCTAATTTGTACTTTGCTGCATCCTGAACAAAAGAAGTGACAGAGAATGAAAACATGCCAGTTGAGGGATTAAGTTATCTACTAGGACTTTGTTTTATACCCCAAAAACAAGGATTGTACCCATGGAAGTTCCAACATATATGAAACAGCCTTCTAAGAATGCAATGCAAACTTGCCTAAAAACATATTTACAAAGTAACTTAGGACACCCAGATCTCCACAGAACTAAACAAATTTCCTATAAGCATATCTAAAAGATGTTAATAAAAATGTACTCGTGGAGGACACATCCACCCACACAGAGCTTGAGATAAAAGAGAGAAAATTGAGGAAAAGAGAGATGCACAGCCAAACATAGAAGGTTAAAAAGAGACATTACTTTCCCAAATGTGCAAAACTAATAAAAGCAATGATAATTCATTATTGGTAACATTAGAATGTGCAGATCTTTACAGCATTAAACAAAATATTCGCAAGCATAGATACAGTATGTGCATGAATAGTACACACACATACATGCAGTGAACAAGAGACTGAAAAGAAGAGAGAGAGAGAGAGAGAGAGAGAGAGAGAAATGCCCAGCAAATAAAGACATAAAGAGAGAGACAGATTACTTTCCCAGACGCACACAACTGATAGAAGCAGTGATAATTCCTCTCAGGATCTGTTATCTGAACAACACGGGACCGTTCAAGAAGGTAAGTTCTGATTGCAGCACCGGATATTCTACCATTTGCATCAAACTGAATCTCAACAAACTTGCCAAAACGACTGTCACAATAAAAGCATAAAGGATTAACCAAGCACTAGGAGAAGATCAATAAATTATATTCCCTTTCATTCCTTCCATCTTGTCAGTATACAAAAGCAAACTGGCATGAAATATGGAAATAGTGCAAGCTTAGCATATTATGAGTGGCACTGCTAAGGTTTTATTATCACTTAATTTAAATAAAATCATTTTATATTCCCTAATCTTGCATACATTTAAAAAATATACCAGTTGCAGTATATTGATACACACAACCCAATAAACTACTCCATTTCCTCTATCTTGCAGAGTCACAGTTGTAATCACGATCCAAAACATATGATCCTAGAGCACAACCATAGATTGAAGAATGACCAGAGAAGGACAGTAGGATCAGATGACAGAATCAGAGACTGAAGCAATAACATGTATTACTAGGATAAGACCAGCAACAATTTAAAAGAAGATCTTAATTTGAACTTTGTAATAATTAGGCCCATTTGAAATGGACTATAATCTTATACACCAATGATGGAGTTTAAAAACTCCACAAGCAGGTATATATGCTGGCCACATGTGTTTTGTGAAAAATGTTCTAAAACTCACCTCGAATTATCATTTCTAACAGTCCTTGCATTACCAAATGCCTCCAAGAGTGGATTTGACTGAACCAAGAATAGAGTGAAATCAAGAACATGTTGGTAGCAAAGAGAGGAAGCAGAGTCCATGAGCATGTAAAAAGTCATGAACTAGGCTAAACCCCATCATGAGTTTATAGGATCCTTTATTAAGCTTCAATAAAATATAAAATGAAACAAAATAAAAGTTTGATCCATTCTAAAAATGATCTGCATCAACCTAGACCAAAACCTGTTAATTACCAAATTTCCATAAGCAGTGGCTATCTACCACCCCAACCCTTAACCCCGCCGCCCACCTCCACCCACCACCGGAAAAAGGGGGGAGGGAATGTACTTACCAGGAATAACAAAAACGCTAATAATAAACATATAGAAGAAAGTTTGTATATACAACCATTTGAGTAATCATAAAGTAAGTTCACTCATGCAATCTTACTTCAAGAACTTGCTGCTCAACAGTTCTGTCATCGCCAGCAGCACGGCCTCCGACAAACGTAAGATACTGCATAATTAGTTTTGTTGTCTCAGTTTTGCCAGCCCCACTCTCTCCACTGACTAGTATAGATTGGCTTCGACCCTCGTTCATCATTGCTCTAGGTTATAAAACAGGGGATTCAATAGATACGAATTAAATCATGTCATCAGAAGCATTAGGGATCAAGCATCAGAATGAAGATGACATACCTATATGATACATCAGCCACAGCAAAAACATGGGGGCTCAGCTCACCAAAAGGAGCTCCCTTGTATTGCTCCATCATATGCACATTGTAAAGATGAGGAAGCTTTGTGAATGGATTAACTGCTATCAAAATGCTTCCTGTATATGTCTATAAAAGAGAAACAACTGTGTAAAGCCTTGAGTTTGATAACTAAAAATGTACCAACTAAGGATTCCAACAAAATCAGAAAAACCATTAACAATACATCGCAGAGGTGCATGTGCAAACATATAGCATGCCCTGTGAGAATCAAAAATAATTTTTTAAAAACCAAGGAACTAACATGCACTAAAATATATTAGTCTCTATTAGCTAAAGGTCCTTAATAACAACATAAAACAGGAAAAAGAAAATCAGAACTCAATTGCTAATAAACTCATAATGTAACTAGATAACCAAATTAGAAGGACATAAATTTAGTCAACAATGTCTTATCAAATGAATAAAGCATCACGAGGAAGATAAAAAAAATGATACCTAGGTAACTATGATAGGACAACTCCACATTAACTTTTTCATATGATGTGCTCATTGAAATATGATAAGGTGAAAAAAAGCTAAAGAAATTAAACAACGCAAGTATTCTTCCGTTTAAAGACAGTGCCAAAAGTAGTAATCTTCAGTTAATAGCATTGAAACACCACAGGCAGCAGGGCAGGAAAGCAAAAATCTGAGTTTGATAGTAACTACTCGAAAGTCAATCTCATTTATGATAGTTTACATCATTCCGGCTATATTAAACAAATAAACAAAAAGGAAAGAATTGTCGTCATGCCCTTGAATAATCTAGACAAATTCTTCATTAACATTAAGGGATAATGAATTTTTCCATTCAATAACAAAAGGAACCAACGTTCAAACATTTATAGGCAACATATTTTTAACCAAAACCAGAATACTGCCGGCTCAGTTGATCTCCAACACCATAATTTCACCAAAACCAAACTCAACGTAAATACGTCCAACGTGGCATTTCAGACGTCAGCACAAGCTCCAAATCCTAAATTTAACTAACAAATTTACCATATCGAGAACAAGTCCTAATCATTACCATTTCGAATATCAAACAAAATAAGTGCATAAAACAATAATAAGTCCACAATTAAGCATAATCTTAAACATCACGTGAGTAATTAACTGAACTAAACTTACATAAATATCATTCAAAGCATATCTCCTCTCAAGATTATAAAGCACACCAGGCTCATTCAAATATGTCAACTTTGTCATATCATCAACCCCTCCATGCTCTTCCTCTTCATCCGCATCTCTCGGAAACAATTTCTCAGGCAACACTAACACCTGAAACACCAAAACAAAACCAAAAAAGCAAATGTAATAATAAACAACAAATGTTCTCCAAAATGCTAAAAAAAATGACAAATAAACGGAAGTGAATCAAACTTATACCGTTTTAGCAGAGACAGTTTGGACTTGGACTTGTTTGCCTTTTAAATCAGTAATTTCAGCTGCAACCCAAGCCAAGCTCTTGTCCTCAACCCACACCTTAGCGCCCTTGCGCAAATTCATTTTTGGTTCCTGAGAAAATTTGAAAATTCAAGAAAACAAATTAAAGAAAAAAAAATAAAAAGAAACCCTAGGGGATTTGTTTTGTTTGTTTGTTTGTTATGGTGAAGTGGAGTGTTCGTGCGACTATGATTTCGGAAATTTCATAGAAACCCTAAACGGACAGAGAGAGACAAAACAGAGGAAGAGAGAGAGAGAGCTTACGGGCATGTTGATAGTTGTGAATTTTTTCGGGTTCCCGCCCTAACTGGTGGTGTAGCCTCTAAACCATGAGTGGATATTTTCCTATAGTTTAAATAATATACATATAAACCGTATTCGACACGTCACTCCTCTACAGTGGCTTGCCTTCGCTTTGGTTGTGATTTATTTTGAAATATATTTCTATAGAAGGTCGTGGAGCGGGGGCAGTTTGCTTTGCTTGACCTGATGACTGTTTGGTTGCGGGGAAAATTGAGGGAAAATCAAGAGAATTGAAATTTTGAACCTGTGAAAACCTGTGTTTTTTCAAACTTTGAATTTCGGTTGTTGTGTGGTGCCCAGTGGACTGTTGTTTCAGTTTACTTTCCCTTTTTTCCCTTCTTCCTTTTCTTTTTTTTTTTTCCAAAGGAACCGAATTTAAAGTAACTTACTATTTTGCATTTATCAAAACGAATTTCTAATTAAATTGAAAATACCACCTACTCATTTCCCAAGAACTCTCTTAAATTTGAAGGCATTTATTTTCCTCATTCGAAATTCGAATTTCAAAAAGTAATACTAATAAATCTTAATTATTCGGTCTTCCTCAATTAATAGTAAATCATTGTTAATCTTTTGTGTTCGAAAACTGACAATTTTTTATTATACGTTAAATTAATTAATCTTAATCTCACAAGTATTATTATTCTTTTCTTTTCCTCACATCACGTCAATGTCAAGGCAAGGCAAAGGGACGGGTAGTTTCGAAATTGGGCGTCGCACGCGGGGCCCCTGAGACGAAGATTCCTCAGGTTTTTGACGGTGGTCGTGTGCTTTGCCTTAGTTGCAGCTGAGAAATCTATGACGTGGCAATTTAAAAAAAAATAAAATTCATCGAAGAGATAGTAGTGCCATTCACCTGCGTGGAAACTCGGCTAAAGATGAATTTTAGTGCCGTTTTTGTTGTTTGTCCTCCAAAATTCATTTTCTTCTAGTAAATTTACTAACGCAACTTTTTATGGTTGTAATGTTATCCAGCCCTCTCTCGATTTCCAGTTGACTCTATTACTTTCTCACCTCCAATAGGTCTTTTTAGAATATAATATTTTTTAAAAAAATTATTTAATAAAATTGAAATTAATTATTATTTTTTATTATATTTAAACAACTTTTAAATTTTTTAAATCAAATAAAATATTATCAATAACTATTTGTTATTTTTTTAAATATCATTATTAATTAAAATATTATTTTTTATTTTTTATAATATAAGACGTTGATAGGAAAATTATGATGTGATATTATCATATCACACCAAAATATTATCAATAATTTATTATATCATGTTAATATGTCATGTAAGTATTTTTTTATAAAAAATAATAATTAATATTTTGATTAATAATAATATATTTAAACACTTATTTCATTCAAAATAAAAAATATAAAAATTACATAAAATATAATAAAAATAAATACTATTTAACTTATTTAAATATTATATTTTTTAAAGACATAATACTTAAAAAAGTCCTTAAATAAGTTTTTTTTATGTTCAATTAAGCTTTTATATTTTTATTTTAAACTCTTGAACTTTTATTTTGAATCAAATAAGTTTTATAATTAATAATTAATTTAATTAAAATATTATTTATTATTTTATATTACATATTGTTAATGTGACATATTGATATATCATAATTGATAATAATATGACATATTGATATATCATAATTGATGATGACGTGACATATTAATTTGACATGATAATATAACTTTATAATATTTTACACCCTCCACCTCAAATTCGTATCATTGTAATATAAATATAAAATAACAAAAAAGCATTGTAATTAATAATAATTAATTAATTATTATTTAAAATGATTTATTTGATTAAAATATATATATAAACTTAATTTAATATAATAAAAAATTATTTTATTTAAATTTTTTAATTATTTAAATATTATTTAAATATTATATTTTTTAATATAAAAATTATTTTAAAAAACTAAAACCAACGGGGACAACCATTAAGCTACAAACTTAAAATCTTAATTTTTTATTCAACAAAACGAAATGTGTTATTTCAATAGGCTGTCGGCTATCCATGTTTAATTTTGTTGGGGGTATGAATGACCGGGCCGAGGAAGTCCACGTATTTTCGGCACTGACTCTAGTGCCCCGTTATCCGACCCAAGACAATTCAGGTTGTCATTACCGTATGATTGATGACAAGTTGTCCATTTCAGTTGACAAAAATGGCAATTTCTTCGCCGTTAAGGAGCAATCAACGAGACAATGACTTGATTGCTGCATGTCACCCCCCTCTAATAGCCCGGCTCCGTCTTCATCCTCTCTTTGGCCATTAAACTACAGCAAATAACTGAGAAAACAAAAGAGAATTGATTTATTTAGGAAAGATGATTAATTTTTTATATAATTTTTCAATTTTATTACATTTTTTGGGTACAATTTTAGTTTTTTATGTATTAAAACAGATTATTCCATCCAAAAGTTTTTCTTGTTATATTATGCTGACATGGAAAATATTTATATTTTTATTTATAAAAGAAAGCCACCTAAGATAATAAATATATGAAAAAATATGAATGGGAATAGTTTTAATAAGCAACATCACTCATTAAGCAAAGAGTTCATATGAAATTTGTTAGTGGTCTCCTGATGTTAACTTTTACCATTTTAATTTGATTGATCGAATTAACTTTGGTTTTCTAAATAAGTTAAAACATTTATACACAATTTTTATAAGTTTAATTTTTTTTACCAAAAATCAATTTTTTTTATTTTTTTTATTTTTATATTCTCTTAGATGGAATGTTTACAAAATATAAAAATATAAATATTTACCACGTAAGCATGATGTAGTGAGAATTAAAACAAAATTGTATAATCATTGGATTAGGCAAAAAGAGCGCGAAAGTGCGAAAAGAAGAACACAACATGTAGAAATATCATAAAAGAAACTCGCGGGAAAAGTAAGAAAAAATTTAAAAATGAACTGAAATGAGAAAACAGAGAAGACAATTCCACAAATCGAGCGGCAAACATAAAACGATAGAGCAAAACAAAAAATTGTTTGAAGGGATTATTTCGTTTCATCATTGTAGAAAGTTAAGTGATAAATTTGAAACTTTTTAGTACTAAATTTGACGAGTTTCGTTTATTTTGACACAATTTTGTTTCTTAAATATGAAGGTAATGTTTTAATAAATGTAAAAATCATGTGACATTTAATTGGTTAAAAGCACCCAGATTCTCATAATAATTGCATCATAAATGGTTACAACCCTATTTACATTCCTGTACATTGAACCATTTTGGGCAAAGCAAAGGAACAGAAGAACAGATAGGCGTTGTGAGGGAGGAAAGCGAGAGATGGGAAGGGGAAAGCTCAAAATCCAAAGGTTGGAAAGTGCGAAGGCAAGACAGACTAAATATTCAAAGCGCAAAGCAGGCCTTGTTAAGAAGGCAAAAGAACTTGCTATACTGTGTGATGTTGATCTAGCCCTTTTGTTGTTCTCTCCCGCCGACAGGCCAACACTTTTGGTTGGTCAGGACAAGTAATTTCAATCCTTTTTTTTCCCCCTTTTATTTTAATTATTTTTTTTATAATTAAAAATCGAGATAAATAAATTACTTAATCTTCCAGATTAAGGCTGGATATGCCATCATTTTCCTTTCTAATCTTTATGTTCTTTGTAGAAAAGTTATTACTGTTTAAATTGGCGATTGGAATTACTTTGGTGATTACAGGGACTTGAGTGCTGTTGTTGAGAGACTCTCTAAATTGTCTTTGGAAGAACGTGAAGAGAGGTGACGAACCCTTTGTTCATTCATAGATAATAATACCAACAGTTAAAATTTTCTCAATTTCTTCTCTTTGCTGAGTGACTGATGGATTGTTGATTGTGTTTTGTGTGTCACCAGGAGGGCCTATACCATGAAGGCAGGTCCCAAGCTCTCAATTTCATTTTGTTTATTTGGTTTTGCTCCTCCGATCAGGCAAACGAAATTTATCCCCGGGAAAAGAAATGTATTGTAATTCTAACTCTTTTTCTTGTTTGTTTCCGAAGGTGTTGACTAAATTTTATGAAAATTCGGACTCAGAGGCTGATCCAAGAAACGTCTCCGAAGACAGGTTTACCTTTTCTTTTTCGTTTAATTCAATTTGCTGTGTCATCTTTCAATGCACCCTATCAACTCATAAGGTTTTTTCCCTTTTGTTTTTTTCCCCAGAAGCAATGTTCTGAAGGTATGACTATGGACTTTGGACAATTGTTTTCTTAAAATTTGTTTGCTTGTAATACCCTTAATTTGAATTGCTTTACATTATATACAGTTACATGAAGATCAACTGAAGGAGTTGAAGGAAAAGCTTGCTGAGAAGAGCAAGATACTGAGGTTCGTAAAATAATTCAAATTTATTAGATATGTGTGCGTGCGCGTACGCGTGTATAATTAAATATTTAAAAAATATTTTTTGATATTGTTTTGACAGGGATTGGAAATACCCACAAAATGTTGAGGACCTGTCACAATTAAAAATTATGGAAGAGCATCTCATTGCATATCTCAACGGAATCAGAAACAAGAAGGTATCGAGTGTTGATATATATTATTATTGTATTTCCTTTTCAATAATCGAAGATTGTTTGAAAGAAATTAACTTGAACCAAGCTGACGTCATGCATCAAGATAGTTTTTACACTAGTAGATGTGAATGCATGCATGAACTGATGAAACTCCCATCACTTGCTTTGTTTTTAACAGTGTCAGTTAGCAATGGAGCAGCTAAAGGGACAAGAAGGTTTAGAGGTTCGTTTCCCATGAAATATAGAATTTTCCGGGCTAAAGATGCCAAGAAGTTCTACTTGTAGCATGAAGAAGGAAAAAGCCTCTATATCAAAATTGAAACAGCTGACAGATGGTTTTTTGACCGTGCAGGGGACTAAGTAGCTTGAAACTTAAAACTATTATGCAGTCTTTTCAGATAACTCTGGTGGCCAATAGGATACCGGAGATATGCAGCAGAGATAATACAATAAGGAAAAATAAACCCAGATTAGAATGCAGAAACAGTAGTAGATAAGTCTGGTCCTGGATATGTAAAAATACTTCAGGAAATAACAAGAAGATCTTACAAAGACTTATTTTTTTGTGCATCTCATTTAATTTTTTTTTCTCTTATAGTCATTTAAAATTGTTCAGACTCCAAAACAAAAATGAACGTGCAGCTCTGGGCAGATATCAATGTCACCCTGCATCAATCATGTCAGCTCTGTTTCTTTCTGCCTGAAGTCAGGTGCCATGAAAAATTCAAGATGAGACATGAGTGACAGTCCTTGTCATTTGGCATGTTTAATCCCGTGGTAATTAGGCAAATCTAGAACTAGAACTGTGTTCTTAATGCGAGCATCATTAGTACTTTTTTGATTTTATAAAGGATGAAGGATGGTGAGAATGATTGCCATTTTGACCTGACAGTTTACACTGTAAAGTGAAAGTGAAATCAGCCACTGCATCTGAAATTCCGTGACTGCTTACAAAGTCAGTAGACAAGAATAAAATAAATGATCAAACCCACAAAAAAAGAACAGTTAAAGGATCATTAAACTCAAAGCTTACCACTGTTATAACAGAAGGGAGTTTCAACCAAATGTACATGGCAAGCTCTTCTTTTAATCTTTTTTAAACCTAAATACATATAAATCAAATAATGATAATCCAAACCCAAATACAAATAAGGCCGTGAATTTGGGCTACTGTACCCAAATAAGTGTTAATGAACACAAGGTATGCACAACAAATGAGTCAATGAAGAGTGACCCTAGCTTAATGCATGGTCTAATTCCAAAGATCATGCAATATTCTTTGATTTATGTTAATGTAATAAAATCACAAAATGCAATGAGTTTGACATGGTTGCAAAACTTACGTCTTCACAGGCACGGGTTGACTCGGGTGTTGTGCGTGGCTTGTGTTCATTAACCGTAACGAATCAGACGTCCTTTTTCACAGATATAAAGTACAAAAAAGAGAAAACTATCTTGATCCCAGTTTGTAGAATCTTTTTTGCTTTACAGAGCTATTCATTTGGTGCGTCTGTCTATCACCAGGATCAGTAAAATGCGGGAAAGCCTAGGAGCGTTAACTGATACAGTTTCCACTTATGGGGATGAGGCACAAAGCCCATCAAGAGTTTTGAGATGGTGACAACAGAGGAAATCAATTGTGATCTTTCGGCATTCAAACAAGTGCAGTGATAAGGTCCAGGACGAAGGAATCCAGCTAGGCTTCTCAGTTCTCAGTGCATTATTGCTGGCTCACGCATATAATGAGTTTATGCAGAGCTGCAAGCAACCAACTCTCCAAAGCCTGAGACTATAAACCCCACCAGGCCAGAAGCTTTATTGCCAGATGCAGAGGTCCCACTTTAGACAATGCCAAGATTACTACCATAATTTCATATGCAGTACAATATACAAGCATGAATTTGTGGTACTAGCATCTTTTTTAAATCTATTACTACTAAAGTAAGTCCCATCCTTTTTTCCCTTTTTCTCTAAGCCACGATAATTGATACCAAAGTCTTTATACACAATTTCCCATCAATTATAACTTCATTCATTCAATGCTCATTCCTGGAATATTGATATTACATTGATGGCTTCAAACTACCTTTACTCACTATTTCGGGATATTACCTCTCCAAATTTTAGGAAGAGTTGTGCATCTGAGGTGCTCATAGATGGGCAATTGACCAAATGTGGAGTCTTCAGATTTGCATATTCATCCTTGTAGCAAGTCACCTTGGTAGGTTGCATTGAGCTTGGCTGTTTTGGTGGGGTGTCCAATGGCATAAGGCTTCCTAGCACACGTGTCACTTCGTGCATTGTTGGTCGATCTGATGGGTGTCTCTTGGTGCATAGAAGGGCAAGCTGAAAAACTTTCTTAACTGCTCCAAGATCCTTGCAAGTAGCAGTGATCTCTGGATCAACCGTTTCCATGACAGCGTTATTGGCAGTCTTGGACAAAATCTGATACACATGTTATACTTTGAGTTTTAAACTATGCACAAACCCAAAATAAACTATCCAATCAAAATCAAAATAAGGATCATTATATTTCCTATCAGTGTTAGCATTAGATTTCAAAGTATGAAAATGGATAAAAAACCAACCAGTTGATGGAGATTGGATTCGTTGTCTACAGCTTTCCTTCCAGTCAATAATTCAAGCAGGACAATCCCATAGCTGTAAACATCAGATTTCTCAGTGAGGCGGGAAGTGCGAGCATACTCAGGGTCTATATAACCAATGGTGCCCATTATGTACGTGGAAGTATAAGACTTGGATATGCATAAGCTTTTGGCAATGCCAAAATCAGTAAGATGAGCCTCAAAATCCTTGTCCAACAAAATGTTAGATGACTTTACATCCCTGTGGATGATTCGGGGACTACAGTCATGATGCAAATATGCCAACCCTTGTGCTGCTCCAAGTGCTACCTTTAGACGAGTGTCCCAATCAAGCTTTTTCTTCTTGGTAGAAACTGCAGCAAACGAATACTTGGAATTTGTAAAATTCAAAAAGAGAAAACTATGGATGATATGAAAAATGTGTTCCATGTGGAGTCAAAAGAGCATAAAGAGAAACTAGAGATACTAACATATTCTAACACCAGAATTTAGCAATATAAACAACCAGGTACTGCTTCATTTTAAGAACACAAACTTACCATGGAGTAGATCCCAAAGACTGCCATTCTCCATATAGTCATAGAAGAGAAGGTTCCCAGAAGGGGAGAGAGAATATCCTTGAAGGCTGACCAGATTTCGGTGCTTAATGCTCCCAACTGTCTCAAGTTCTGTCTCAAATTCCTTCAAGCACTGTGGATAATGAGAGTAGAGTCTCTTGATAGCAACTGGCTTGCAATTCTTAAGAACACATTTGTAGACTGTGCTTGATGCACCATTGCCGATTATATACTTCTCACTCAAATTCTCTGTCATTCTCATTATGTCCTCGTATACATGAAGCGCCATATTCATGTGAAGGATCACTAATTTTGGTGTTGAGTAAGTAACTGTAGCTAAGGAGTCCACAAGTCAATAACAGGGGGCACAATTTTCAACAAGAAGGCTGATTTAAAATAACAAACAGAAACCAATTAAGAAACGCTATCCTACAATTAATTTTCTTATCCAATCTATCTCCTATTTTCCACTTTTCCAAATTATTGCAGCCTACTCTAACCTACCACCTTATTAATCTTCTTAGATGATATTTGCAGAATTGTTCAATTTGGTAACCCAAAATGGGACCACGGAACTCAGAAAATCATTCTCCATATTCCTATGTTCTATACTCTAAGGCCAAAGGACTTGCATTACACACAAAACGAGAAGGCACCTGGCTTATCCAGTGATCCATCTGGAAAAGTTGTAGGATTATGTGGGCGACATGCTGCAATCAAGATCATTAGAAGAATCACAAGGGCACCAAGTGCAATGCCTAGGATTGCTGCTTTAGAGATCACAACTGCATAGACCAGAATGAACAGAACAAAATCAATAATCATCCAAAGTGTGCAACTGAATGATTTTAACATACCAAGAAAATATTGATCATCTAAGATCAGGAACAACTATTTAACAAAAATGATATTATCATATCAACATAGATGAAAAAATGTTCTTGCACTCAAGATTCTGAACGCTGAGAATCTGATTTGTAACATTCAAAATGACTGACGAGGTAGTGGCTCATCATGCTTGTCACTATTTTCGATTCATGAGGCTTCTCAGCTTCACAACTTCAGGTCAACCATCTACTTTAAAAATGGAAGTTCTACAGCAGCTTATGTCCACTCATAATACCATCATACGAGATAAAAACACCTTTCTCTCTCTCTCTCTCTAAGGTCATAATTACCTCGCTCTGTGGGATGAGACATGTGGCACGGAGAAGAAAGCCAATAGCCGCAAAGCCCAGGATTTCCAATAAAACTGCTAACAAGATGTTGTCAGTTGGAAATTAGGCTTTGGTAGGGAAAAAACTAGCAGCTAGATTGAGCTTTTAGTAAGGATTATCCGCTGGGAATTCTAATGACCAAAACAGTAGAATTTTACCTGTCTGGTGAGAATCTTGAAAAGTTATTGCTTGTGGGAATATCACCAGCAAGGTTGTTATAGGATACATTTCTGCAAGGTTTCACGGAGTTTATAAGGTTATATAATGCCACTGTTACTGTACATTTTAAAGGTAAAGCCACATTAAAAGGAAAACAAAAAATCTAGTGAACCATCAACCCACAAGATGGTAAGACTGATGCAGTTGATTAGTGACATCACATCTCCTGATAAATTATTGTTTTCCAATCTCCTGCATTATTTTGAACCAAGGTATTAAAACGCTGAAGACATTTCATGAAGAAGTCTGAGGATCTTAAACCCACTAGAAGCCGTAATCCATAAATAAAAAAGAGCAAATATTCAATCAAAAGTCAAGGCCATCACAAATAATTCATCTAATAAATCTCTAAGGCCATAACAATGCCACAATGTAACCTGGCATGTTCTTGCTAACAGCTAAAGTATTCACAATTCAAGTGGACACAGTTACTTACAATGAGAACATGTTCTGAACCTGAGTGAGTTCTTGAGGAATAATGCCTGAGAGATGATTGCTTGAAAGGTCTCTACAATGTAGAAGCATAAGATGCAAAGTCAACAAGGACTACAGAAAGCTTAAGCCTATTAAAGGCAGTAAAATTAGATTTCTTACATCTCCATAACACTTCTTAGATTACCAAATTCAGCTGGAATGACTCCTGTCAAATGATTTCTGCTTAAATTCCTACCAAAAAAAAAAAGGAATATAAGGTGAAAATCTTTGCTAAGCAATTAAATCAGATACCATTTTCTAGAAGCACTCACAGCTTCAGAAGATGTTCCAAATCACCAAGGGAGGAAGGAATCAAACCACTAATTTTGTTGTTAGAAATGTCCCTGAGAAAACAAACAAGAATTAGGAACCAATAAAATGAAAAAAGATGAACACCTTAGTGCAGTT